GCAACTGGCGATGTCAATAAATTCTCCAAAATGTCGTATGAAGAAAGGTATCACGAGTGGACCTGTCAACTTGCCGCGATGGTGCATAACAAAAATGAAGAGGAACGACGACGAAATAAGTTAATAGTAGCTGTTTGCATCAGCGAATGTACATACAAATATAAGAAAAAAAAAGAGATTTTGGATTGATCCATTATTTGAAGGACGACGTAAACATGGGTTTTATTATGCATCTATGCCGAAACTAACACCAGAGAAGTTCCAAAATTATTATCGTATGACAGCTACGCAATTTGAAGAATTGTTGCACTTAGTGGCACCTGCAATCATTAAACAAACCGTCATTAGGGAACCATTACCTCCTGCAGAACGACTATCCATAACATTAAGGTTCGTTTGTCCTTATAATTGCATTACTTCATGAATTAGAAAAATTAATAAAATATTTGATCTAATTATACATATTTAGGTATTTATCAACTGGTGATTCAATGCATTCAATGTCGTACCATTATCTCGCTGGAGTATCGACAATAAGCCACATTATAGGTGAAACATGTAATGCTATATGGAACTCTATTTGCCAGGAAGTGCTCCCACCATCAAAAAGTACAGAAGAGTGGCTACGTCTTGCTGAAGAATTTGAAGGAAGATGGAATTTTAATCATTGCATAGGAGCAATTGACGGCAAACATGTTACTATTGAGGTAATATTACTGATCAATTCATATACATATTGTCATTGAAGATTACAGTTTAATACCTAAATAATCTTTTTTTAGTGTCCACCTAATGCAGGATCGTCTTACTATAACTATAAAAATAGTCATAGTATTGTGCTCCTTGGAATCTGTGACGCACAATATATGTTCACATTCGTTGATATAGGAGCCTACGGTCGCTGTAGTGACGGGGGCGTTTTCAAAAATTCAAAGATGGGTCTAAAATTTAATTTAAAGGAAATGAATGTACCTACACCAGAACCTCTCAGTCCAGGTGGACCGCCTTTACCATATGTTCTGGTGGGTGATGAAGCCTTTCAATTGACGGATTATTTGCTCCGGCCTTATCCAGGAAAAGGCGGTTTAAATGACGAGCGAAATATTTATAACTATCGGTTGAGTCGAGCCAGAAGAACAATTGAAAATACGTTTGGTATCTTAGTCAGCCAATGGAGAATTTTAAAGCGACCGATCAATTGTAGTATGGAAAAAACAATTTCATTGTTAAAGCCATTGTATGTCTCCATAATTGGATTCGTCGAAGGGATATTGGAAAAAACGAATATGTTATTCCAACACTAATTGATCAGGAGGATTATGATGGCTTTGTCCCAGGCTCTTGGAGAGCTTGCATAAATAATAGTGCATTTATGGACATAACTCACTGCGGTTCTAATAATAGTTCTCGTCGAGCAATGCAGATTCGAGAAGAATTTTGTAAATATTTTAATAGTGAAGGCGCTATACCATGGCAATTTAATCATTGTTAAAGCCATTGTATGTTCGTTAAAAAAATATGCAATTTAATTTGAAAACGTGTGATAAAATGAAAACCATGAAATTTCAATGGATTTAAACTTTATTACAAGCACATGACAACCGTTTTAAATTTTATTATAAACATTTATATGTATGTATTTGAACCAAAAGAATATAATTAAATAATTAAACAAAACGTATTTGAACAAAACAATAGAATTAAACAAAATCTATCTAAATAAATCTAAACATACATATTCTTTACTAGAAAAATAGGTATTTGCATTAAAAACCGCTGTTTTTATGGTTTTTTAATATTAAAATAAATGCTCAAATATAAAAAAAACAGCGGCTTTTAATGCAAACACTATTAAAATCAACACGGCTTAATCTTCTCGTTTAAGTATTTCATAAGTTAGGCTCATTATTTGCTGAATTACATCTAATTGATTTATTCGACTCATCTGTCTCAACCTGCATCCAATAACTGCTACAGCTGAATCAATTTCATCGAGTTTGGGTGCTGGTGGCATTACAAATGGTGTTGGTGGTTGACAGAGTGAATCGGCAATCCTTTCCAGTGCACTGGACTGCTGTCCCAAACTTTTCTTTCTTTTAGTTGGCACACCTGCAATTTATTGGTTGTTTATTATTATTGTTATATTTGATTATTAATAATATAATAATATTGAAGAGCTTTTATTATTCCTTAAGGGTCACATTACTCCTACACATCTGGTTTCTGTAAAGATCACATTGGCATGAAACAACACAAGATAGATATTAATGTAAGTACCTGATGTTTCAAACTCTGATTGCTCGTTGTCATCGCCAGTTGT